ATCACAAGATATGTTCTCGGTTAAGCGGCTCGAAGCACCGGTATGCCATCTTAACTTTGAACTTGACACTTAGTAAGACTGAAACTCTAACATGGACGCTTGCCTGCCAGCACCTGCACCATAAATTCGTGTAACACAGTTCTGGTTGTGGTGCTTTCCATAGGGACCCTTAACGTCAGTATTGATGTAATGTTGAATGTGACTGACTGAAAGGGAACGTCTCAGTTACGTTACGTAACTGTCCTTCCCTGAAGGAGGGAACGGAGATGTTACGTCCCTCAACCCTGAACTGCGCTGAATGCCAGGTTGCTTTCTCGGCTCCTCAGCACAAACCTGAATGAGTGAATGCATGCCACCAACTTATGTAACCGTATGTAGGAGAGTGGCTTGGCATGTAAGTTCCACTCGTCAATAGTCACTGGCCATTTCTTTTAATGCTCAGAGGTGATTGGGGCTCCCAAGTGAGACCCCTAATGTCAGTATCAACGTAACGTCTCCATTCCTTCCTGCAGGGAACAAGGGTTACATAACGTAACCAAGACGTTTCTAGTCGTCAAAGATTCCTGAAAGAAAAACTAAATCACGGTTTCTAAAAAAATTTCATGCAACACAGCTGTTTTCATCTGAAAATAATTAAAAAAATGTTACTTAACCCTTTAACTGTCACCCGTCCACTCTGTGGGACGCCTATGTTTACTTCATTATATTACAATTAAATCCTAATCTAATCATGACAAACTATATATCGTTGGAAAGGTCCTAAATAGATATTTTACCAATGTTTTTGTAAAAAAAAATATGTAGGAAAAGTAATAGATTAATTTATGACAAGAGTGCACCTCAAAAATCTACATCATAACAGGAGTTCTGACCTTTGTCAAAAAAAGTTTTTATTGCATTTTTCTCTGTCACACTTTAGAAATCATCAGAAATTATATATCATTTGAAAACTTTAAATCTCAAAATTCATCATTTGAAACCCATTTTAAAATCAAACATTGCATTACCATGAAAAATGGTACATCAATATCATGTTACAAAATGTTTTCGTTTATGAATTATAAAAATTTAAGTTTGGATAGTGCACTTTCACGTCTATGTTCAAAAATGTGAGTGACAGTTAAAGGGTTAATCATAATCAATTATCATATTAAAGTTATTTATTTCTGAAGGATCATGTGACACTGAAGTTGTAATAAAACTGTTATTTTAAAATGAGTTTTTACTGTATTTTTGATTTAATAAATGCAAAGCTGATTTCATGGGGTCTAACAAAATAACATCGCTGTTGCTGTCTCTGTTTCTGGTTGTTGTTGTTGTTTTTACCCAATTCCTTCAAAATACACAATTATTTTGGCACTGTAAAACCTGTTTTTAACCTAGAAAATTCCCTAAATCCCAGGTTGTGAGCTGTGCTGACTTTCAGGCTCAAAGAGGATAATTATTTCTCTACCTGTGGCTTTGGGTTCATATAACAATAATTCAGCAAGTTAGTGGGAGATTTACTCATACAGACCTCTGCATTCACCTTATCTCAGGTCCTGGGCAGTTCTCGCTCTTTCTCACTCAAAGAAACCATATCCTCCATAGAGGACACACTCAGGGGAGAATGGCCAAATAAATCTATAGTGATATGTCATATAGCACTGTATTGACTAGGAAGGGCACAGTAAGTATTTAAAATGTGACCCTTCAGCTAATTTCATTTTATCTGTCTGTCCTTTTCTCAGATTGTGGCATTCTGCTCTACGCACCTTTTGCTTGTGGTAATTAGCTGTGAATTAAAGACCTTAATCAATAAGAGAACATGAAAAGTCACACTCAATAAAGGCATTCATTACTCCTCTGAGCCAGGCTGTCTGGAGCATTCTCTGGCTGTATTTCAAAACCTTGTGAGTTGCCTACCTAGACAGCATTTTGGCCATTTCAAACATTACATTCAGACCAAATGGACTGTCTACCAAGACATTTTTTGTATGTTCCATTCAAATGATGCGAGTCTAGTGAGTAGCCACAGCGTAGTCACCAGTTTTGGACATCATAATTACATACTATCCTAGTCTACCATGTCAGCAGTTTCATGCATCATATAGACACGTATGTACATTATATTTAAATGATTTAAATGTTAGTGAACTGCCTACCTAGTCAGCATTTTTAGCTGTAAGCATATTCAAATATTTGATTTATTAAACTAAATAAGCACATTTTAGTTAACACACACTTTCAAACATTTGAAGTTTGAAGTCAGATTAGTTGCCTAGATGAGTTACAGCATTTTTGCCCATTATAGTTACGCTCATACTAGGGGTGTAAATCGGAGGGTTTGTCACGATACGATACGATATCGATTCTCATACCCAGCGATACGATATTTGTCGATACCGCGAAAAATTCTACGATACGATTTCGATACGATTCGATTCAGGAGTATATCGATCAATTTATCGATATTATGATATTATGTACCTATTTTAAACAACCATCTACATTTCACAACAAAAAAAAGACTTGCACTTTTTAAAAAATAATAAAGAAAAATAAATAATTTGGAAAAAAATCAATGTCACACATAAGATCAGTAATCTTACGACATGACAACAGTCAATAAAGTATTTCAGGCTTCTGTGCTAAAATGTGCAATGTGTAAAATAGAGTAAATCCTCATTAGGAAAAAAGGAGGTACTCCAGTTGTACAAGCAATACATTAATGTAGAAAAATAAATATAAAAAAGATTACAAAAATAAAAGCTGTTAAAACTTATTTTTAAGACTTTTTTTTTTTGGTTGATACTATGGGCTCAGTGATAAGAATCTTTTGATAAACATTACAAGCAATAGCAGAAATTAAATACAATAGAACAAAGACACAAATTAAATAAACAGTGCTTTACAGGTTTTTCAGGTGGGTCTAAAAGAAATTAAGTTACAGAAATTTAATAATTATATGTAAAATAACCCTGCATAGTCTTCACTGTATAAATTAAATATAGATTAATCCTTATTAAAGTTACAAAAGTTATTCAGTCAAGAGCAGTGAGAGATTTTGTTTTCTTTGACAGAGGTTTGTTAGTCTGCTTTCACTTTAAGACCGAAAGGACAGTTCCAATATACTGATACACACACTTTTTCTTTCTCAACTGTTTACGTTAAGACAGGCCTAACTGACTGTATTTACTAGGATATTCGCCAAGACACGCATGTTGATGTAATCTTATCTGTATTTGTTCATCCAAGCGCAAAAAAAGTGGAAGAGAGCTCAATTCAGTATTTGCGTGCTGTCTGTGTGCACACGGCACTGCATGCAGAAAACGTCTCACACAGCGCCCGACAGTTCCGTCAACTGTCCCGAGCATCTTTTAATGCTCGCCTTGTGCCTTCAGGCAGTCTTATCATCAAGTCCTGACACATGAGTTTGAACGAGAATGCATGCGTTGGCGGTAATACATAGACTGACATTGAGTGAAAGTGGACAGTGCCAAAATAATGTGCCGATATATACTACGTGTATCGATATTTTATGTGTGGCATCGATACATCGTATTGTTAGACATTTGATCGATGCATCAATCCATATCAATGGATCGTTACACCCCTTGCTCAAACATTCGCACAGTTTGAACTTGAGCTGCCTATAACATTTTTGAGCATCATAGATGTGTTCAGTTAGGACCTATATTCAGTTTGGACCTAGTAAATTGCTTACCTAGACAGCCATTTTAGACACATTGTAGACACATCAAAAATGTGATTAAAATGTTCTGAACCTAGTGAGCTGCCTTCCTGTACAGTTACTTTTGACAATCATAGTCACACACTGAAAACCCCAATAAGTTGAGTGAACTCATTCCCTCAGTTGAATTGAGTAATGCGGAATCCCAAAATTTTTATATTCTAGTTCACCTTACTTATGCTCTTGTACACTCTACTTATTTTTTATGTTCACTTGATTTGTTGTTCATATATTGTACTTAAATAATTAAGTTCACTTAGCATGGTGTTCATTTAATGTGTACTTGCATATATAAGTTAACTCAACTTAGAAATTAAAAATTAATTTGAAATTAAATTCTGCAGTCTTAACAAATAAAACACACTGAACAGTATTTTGACAGTCTTTATTAACCGACATTTTGTTATTTATTTATTTATTTATACATTCATTAATTTTTTTATTTATTTTTAATTAGTAATGTACATTAGGGCCTTTTGTGTTACATTTTCTGTTATTTAGTTAACCTAATTCTTATTGTATTATTTTATTGTCATGATGTTTTTTTGGCCTTGTATGGACAGGCCATTTACAGTCAACTCTGATTCATCCTGTGGCTTTCCATTTTACCATCTTTTATTATTATGGTTGTTAGGTCCATTTTAAAGTAAAAAGCAGTTTTTGATAGTTAGGTAAAATAGTAAAAGTTTGTAAAATATACAGGCATCTGTAAGCCATCCCATAATACCCAAAACAGTATAATTGTATGGTTACAGTAAATTGCTGGCAACCACAGCTTTTTGGGCATCATAAACATGTTGAAACATGTGAGCCTATAGTGGAGCTTCTCTCTTGACAGCATGTTTGAGCATTATAATCTAATAATCTTGTTCTGTGATTCCCAAAAATGCTGTCTAGGTAGGCAGCTCACTAGGTTTGTATACACGGGCCCTCTCTTTCTCTCACTCTTAATACATTGTAGTGTGTTTTCCATCTGACTTTCTCCCTCCATCAATCTCTCACTCTTTCATCCTTTCAGCGGCGTACTCTCTCTTTCTTTTTCACTCGTCACTGGATTAGTCAAAGGTCATTTTCCCAGCTGACTGATCTTGGCACGATGGAGCGTTCACACCTCAGCGGTCCCGTTCAGTGCCAAAACCCAAATGCCCGCACAAGTTTCACACTAATGAAGATGGAACGTGGGCCCAGTGCCATGAAGTAGATGTGTGTGTCACAAGCTAAATGTGTGTATTTGTGTGTGTGTGTGTGTGTGTGTTTCCCCCAACAGGCTTGTTAGAGAGAGCCGTCTCCTGCCTGCTATCTTTCAAGTCATAGAGGTAAGTGTGCTTCTGAGCCTTCTGGTTTCCTCACTGTCTGTTTGCTTGATTCATTTATTGCCTTGGGCTTTCTGCTCTGACTTCGGTAAGCAATGGAATGATGAGCTTTATGGAAATCAGAAAACACTATATTGGAGAAATTGGCCGTGTTGCAGAAATGCTTCAAAGTCTTTAAAAAAGGAATAGATGGGTAGAATTGTATCCGTTCTGGATGGACCTTCACTGTTTTGGTCATTTTAAAGGCATAATTCTTTCAAAAATGAACTTCTGTCATTATTCACTGACTCCCATTTCATCCTAAACCTTTACACTGTAAATGTATTTATTTAGTTACTTCCTTCTTTACTTATTTGGAAGTATTTTTTCACAGTTCTTTTCCTTATAACAAAGACTATAGAATACCCAAGATGTGTCACTCGTATAGTTTTAAATGGGGGGAAAATGCAATGCTCAATATGGCCACTCTATTGAAGGAAGCCCCACCTTCTAAGTACAAGAGCCAATCGCTAATCGGTAAAGTCATCGCATCACTGCAGCTGTCCCAGTTGCTATAGAAATAGTCAGTGTTCTGGAGATGCATGCTTACGACTGCGTATTCGCACAGACTGGTCTAGCCTGAAAAATAAGCTTTTTTTTTTCCAGGTCTGGAAAAGTGTTTGGAAAAAAATATTTGCATTTCCAGACATTTGCCCCTATTTAGTTTTCTATAATATAAAATTGTACATTTAATGAAAATAAATTTGTCATACAAGAAGTGTGTTTTGGCAGCTGTTTAGTGTTTCTTTAGTGATTGTCAAATACGTCTGAATGAATTCAAGGTTCACTTTTTCATTATGCAAAAATGCTGGTTATATTGCAGGTTTTTTCTCAGGATATTTTTTATCACAATATTACAGAGCCTTTTAAAAGGACCTTTGCAAAAATAAAAATAAAAAATACAGACTTTCGTGTGTGCACAAGAAACCATTAAACTTAGTACATAGGAAAATGCACACTGATCCATCTATTGCACCATCAGCCCATTTTGCGGTGTGGTTTCTTGGTTGCCACAGAGTAGGCTATGCGTTAAAGCAGACCTAAGGCCTTTTTTACAGTTCCATTCTTTTTATAGACAATTGAACTTGTCAAATAGGACAATGCACACAGCCGTATTGTGCCGTCAGCCCATTTCGTGTCATAATTGGATATTAGTCCTTGATATTAGCGGTATTATACTAAGGAAAGCCAAATTTTGAGCAAATGCATCCCTTTTAATCCATATGCTTTCGTTTTCGTCACAGTAAGATGGCAGTGATGCACAAAGGAAATGTGTTATAGTATATAAAACTAGAAAATGTAATGCGTGAATACGCAAAATATTCGCGTGCGCATGTGAATAGTTTCTCGATGGCACGAAAAACTTTCTTGTGTGCATGCAAAAGTCTATATTTATGTATGCAAGAAAATCAATGAAACCCCCTGAGAACATAAAAATATTTACAGATGACTGTACTATATACCAAATAAAAAGTTGAAAATAATGCTGTATGAACCATTTATTTTAAATATGGCCTGAAAATTTACAGAGACTTCGAAATTTGAGTCTGGAAAAGTATGGAATTTTGAAAAGGAAAATGTGTAGGAACCCTGGATTTCATTTTTGGATGACCTAATCTTTCAACAAAACATGGTAAAATAATTTAAAGGTGTAAAAAAAACCTGGCAATTTAGCAAAATACATGGTGTGTGCAAATGTTTGTGTGTAACAGTCAGACCTTTCCCTCTGAGCATGTTCACATCCCAGTATCCATTGAGTTATTATGTAAATGAGGCAGTGGGGGTCTGACCTATCAGAGTGCATGTGTAATTGGGTTGCAGAGTTAATGGAGTGTGGATGTGAGGCCTTTTTCAACAGCATGTTACATTCTCATTAGAGTAGACCCTACATCGACTGTTAACAGTCATCCTCGAAAACTCGCAAGCACACTTCATACTTATTTCCAGTAGGCCAATGTGAACGGCAAAAAAATATGCTTTAGATTTTTTTTTTTTCTTGGAATGTTTTAATGTTTCTGATAAACGGTCATTGTTGAGCTGCCCAGTAGCAATCCAGAGCCAATAGATTTTCAAGAAGTATCCCATAATTTATCCTTTGACGTTCCCGTTACCTGAAGTGAAAAATTACCATTGCATTACAACCACTTTTCAAGGTTAATGTAAGCTATAGTCCCAGAGTGTCTCGTGCACTGTAATTTAATTTTCCAAAGGATATACTTTCCCATGCCAAGCCAACCAAATAAAACTCACAGTCTAAGTATTTGATTATAGGGCATTTTATATGCAAAAATTATACAATGATATGATTTGATACAATGACGCATGATACAATTATAAGCCAAAAAGAGGACACGACATTTTACAATAAGGTCCCAATAGTTAAAGTCCATGAAATCAAAATTGACACCATTTACTTTGTTAGCGCACATCGATAAATAAATAATCTGTGCAAGTTAATCCACCGGGGGAAAAAAAGGCCATGGTAATTTTCTTCTGCTCTGGAATGGCATTCCTTCTCTGATGTCAGTTTGATGGCTTCGGCGAAAATATCTTAACCACTCCCCTTCAACCATTAGTTTGCTTCCAGCAAGAGATAGAGAGGAGGTGCGCTAAAATAAACCCCCATCCTCTATTCGGGTTCAGTTTGAAATACATCACAATATTGAAGTCAGTAGCAACTTCCGGTTCGGACTTAAACATTAGTTAATGCATTAACTAAAATGAACAATAAAAAATAAATTTGTTACAATATTCATTATTGTTATTCATACAATATCTTTGATTACTTAATAAAAATACAACTGTTCTTATGTTAGCTCAGGTCCATTAAATGACATGAACTTTTGATTTTAATAATGTGTTAGTAATTGTTGAAATTAACATTAACAAAGTTGTTTTTCACAGCTAGTTTTTGTTAACTAATGAAACTATTGTAAACAAATGGAGCTTTATTGTGAAGTGTTACCAATATTATTACCATGTAAACATTAAAGTTGAACATTATGCATGGAAACATGAATACAATATTACATCTGATAGTCGAAATCAGTGGCTCACCATCATCTTGTCAGTCAGAATATTCAGTAGTCTCGCTCTTCAGCTTCTTTTCCCACAGTGCTCTGCAGTGAGCTGGTTGCACTTCTGTTATCTTCATTTACTCGTTTTCTTTCTCTTATGCACTGACCCTGTGGCCTGTACTCACATTTGCTGCAGTTGTGCCGATGTGGTGGGCTCATCTCAGACCTGTAACGTCCATCTGTGCATGTCTTTTTTTCTCGCAGCTATAGCGTTTGCTTTGGAAATTCCCTCAGCAGTAGCAAGGCATTTAAGCCCTATTTTATTTGGTCAATTGCTGTTGTCTGGCAGGAGATTCAGTCAAACAGCAGGAGAAGATCATTCAATTTTAATCTGGAGAGGAAATTCATTTCAAAGCGTGCACATTTTCATATTGATAAATTCATGAAATTTTAGTTCCACCTCAGTAGATCATTTATGAACTATTTGGTAAAGATGTGCTGATATAAAATTCTGGCCATTATCGATTACAAGGTCATCATGCTCATTAAGTCAGGTATTAGTATTGCTAGTTCTCATACATGAAATTAGGTTGTGTGTGTGTGTGTGTGTGTGTGTGTGGTTTTTCTTTAAGTTTGCTCTGTAGAGAACATGTCTTACAAAAATTGAGGTAGGGTGTTATATGAACTAGTCTTGCGATATGTGTGAGATGTTTTCTTGTGAATAGTCACAACTAAAGGTTGATGTTAGGCAAGGTTTACAGCTGAATGCCTGCGTCTCCTTTAGCTGTGACTGTATTCATGCTACGGCACAGCCTTTAGTCACTCGAAATGATTTCTACATGCACAGCCATTCAAAGGTTTGAGGTTAGTGAGATTTTCTTTTTAAGAAATACTTTTTTTATTCAGCAAAAAATGCATTAAATTGATCAAAAGTAACAGTAAAAATGTATCAAGATTTCCACAAAAAAATATCAAGCAGCACCACCGTTTTCAACTGACATGTTTTTGGTGTTTCTTGAACACCAAATTAGCATTTTTGAATGATTTTTGAATGATTTCTGAAGGATTGTGAGACACTGGAGTAATGGCTGCTGAAAATTCATTGCCATTACAGACTTAAATGTTAAAATATATTAAAATATAGCGATGTAACGATTCACTCAGCTCACGATGCGATATGATTCACGATACTGATTTCACGATACGATTTTCTCCAATTTGTCAGATTTCAGACAAATTCTAAATGAAAAGTTATCCTTTTATTTTTGCTTGGACAAAATGATGCATATTTCTTTGTGAAATTTAAATGTCAAATAACAAAACTAAATTGAAATTTTAAAACAAAACCCTAAATTAAATAAATAAGACCCTTCATATCCCTTCATATAAACAAACTAATGCTTTACCTGTGCTATTTCCATTCAAAATTAGAGGTAACCACATCACTTTAATCACAATCCAAACAAAGATGCTGAATACATGCTAAACAAACTGTTTTTAATCTAAAACAGATAAACAAACATAGAATGGTTTGACTTTAGTTTTGTGAAACTATAGTACATAAAACAGCAGACGGACTGAATGAGACACATTATATATATATATATGGGTTAAAGATGAAAAAAGGTTTAAGTATAAAAACAATACTGCTTTAAATTGTTGTTTTTCCAAAAAAAAAAAAATTATTAAAAAAAAATTATTTTCTGTTTAATGTAATTGTATATTTGTTTTTGTTTTTCGGAGCAAAACATAATATTCACTCTCTGACAGCAGGTGGCGCTTATGGAACAGCAGCAATACAGCATTTCCTTGGTTACCACTGTAAACAAAGCATTATAAATAATATGTCAATTTAATATGTATTATATGGAGGCAAGATGAAATTTATGAATGAAAATACCATTGAAACTTTTCTAAAGACCATCAGTTCCCCTCAGAGATATGTTC